AGCACAGTGATCAACGTGCCTTCATGAACTAAGTTGGTCGTGACACAAATCGCAAGGAGTCGTATGTGTTGGTCGTAAATAAACATCTCATGCTTACCCTGCTTGAGTTCCAGAATCGCTGATTGGGCCCTAAACTCATCCCTTGGCAATTTAGACGTTTGTCTAAGCCGAATCTTGAAGACCTCCAATGACACAAAAACAAATAGGTCGTGCACCTTGATCCCGGATGCCCAGGTTTTGGCACGTTCAGCCAGGTTTGACTCAGCAAATGCGAATTGCATTTGCTCATCGACGATGTGAAAAGCCCTTATGGAGTGTTCCAACTCGATGAACCATCTCAGCAAAGAGCCTTCCTTGACTCCTCTATGCTTTGAGATGACTAATTTTCCAAGATTTCGGTCGACCCGAGCGCGTCGCCCCGGGAACAGTAGCACGTACCTGCTGTTGCCTCAACAGTTCGAAATGTTAAGCACCCTGCTCCGTTAGTAGCTCTGCATGTTTGAATTTTTGCCTGCGAAAGAATGTTACTATATCCCTTGACTCGTCAAGCAACTTGGCGACGGCGGCATGCTGCTCATCCCTGTCCAGTGCGGACAGCATGACAGGGACGGCATGTCCTCCCAAAGACGAACCCATTCGTTCGACCGCACTCCATTCAATGTCACTTAAAAAGGAGTAGCTTTCACGCGTGAAGTTAAAGCTGTCACTAGGATCATCCAAAATGCTCCTGATGGATGTAAGGGTTGCGTTCATTGGACGAACACAAAGTGCTTCCAGGTGTGACGGGGTGCTGGTCACTAGTACTGCTTCAGTACTAAAGCGAATACACTGACAAAAGTGCAGGTGGTGCCGCGCATCACGTCACGTACATTATACGTGCAGAAGAAGGCTAGCTAATGAATGATGCGTTTATAGGATTAGAAAGTAAAAATGTATTAAGTGTAATTAAGTCCCCAGTACATATACCTGTGTTTACCCCTGACTTCATTATACTTCTTAGAGAAAATGTATGCTAAAGGCTAGCTCACCAGTCAGTGTGCGCGTCCATCGTTGAGATGAAACTTGAGCTGGCTAATATGATGGCCCATATCAGCGAATCGGTAAGTGGTTATAAATATTACCCGTTATGATAGTATCGACGAACATTATTAAACTTTGTGATAATATTTCAATGAACAAGTATCAAAGTTGATTAAATGTAACAGGCTCACCACGTTACAGAAAGGAAAACTACGTTTTGCTTTAATCATGGTACAATGATGACTGAGCAAGAAGATACACAGAGACCGGGTTTGGATGGACGGTTGCTGTCAGTCCCACAGATTCTTAACATGAACTACTTATGCAAATTATATTGAAATACTGCGGTGTTCACGAAGACAATAGTTTGGTGGTAGTTGTTAAGAATGAAAGAAACGTGTACCCACTTTTAGTAGAGGACGAACGGCCTATGTTTATTCACTACAAGAAGGAAAAAAACGAGTGGGAGCTATGGTACGCTATAAAGGGCCACTCAATCTACTTGGTTTACCAGTACACTCACGAATAGGTCTACGATCTGCCAAAAATTAATGAGAAAAGCGAGGATTTGTGTCGTGGATGTCTATTCGGAAAATGATTGTGGCTTCATTTCAAAAAGAATCAAGCGCAAAGACCACCTAGCCTCTACAGCTCATTTAATCAGATGTTACGGTAGAATTAAGACCAATTCCCCTGGTGGACCTTCTAGTAGAAATACACAGCTCTTAGTCAAAGGAAGGCTCACGACTCTAGAAGTCACTGGGTTTTGCAAAGCTAAGTTCCTATAAGTTCAGATTGTCTCTAGGTCAAATAATGAATTAATTCAGACTTGCAGAGTCTTCACGTTCACAGGGCTTCTAGTCGTGCTTTATAAGACTAATAATGATTCCGATAATCTTGCACTAACGGAGTGCTTATAAGCACGCGCCACTTAATCGTTGCGATCTGCCGACGTCTAAACTAGACATGTGTCAACATCAAACTCAAGGGGAGTTGCTGTTTATTTCTATGTTCGAATCTCTAATAAACCTCATTCGACTACCTATTACCTAGGGTAGACTAAATTTCTGAGTAATCTCTATTTCATTAAGAGATTGATGAATGATACATCAATATGTAATCAATGGATAACGGAGGTTCTCAAACACATCAATTATCACAGACAAAACTTGGGACTGTATATCACATATAAGAGGTAAATCCGTTTCGGGTGGTAACGGTAGTGTGACCCCGTTACACTCTCTCCACCAGACTGACGTTATTAAATAACATCGATCGATCCATCACCTCATCGAGGCCATTGGTTAATATTAAACATCACAGTTGTTCAACGCGTTTTGTATTGAAACGCCTAACAGGTCATTGACCCTTTCCGACCTCTTCGGTTGGAGGTAGTAAGCTGTGGTAGTGATGCCAAATCTGACACACAAAGAGCGACGACATACCGAGGCAGGTAACCACTCAATCCGTTCTTCGGACATGGAGCTGCGGATGCGCTAACTGTGCTTCACATGACACCAGGCATGGAGTCATATACCATCGCGAAAGCGCTAGATGAGGAACAAGGGCAGGTTTTCGAACAACGGGAGAGCGCCCGGCGCAGCCTCAGATTATGTCAACACTCGAAAGTCATATTGACTATGTCTTCACCCCTCTCGTCGTGGCGGAACGTACCTGACAGTGTGGTAAAGTGGCCACAAGCAACTTTACAGTTGCACTGGAGTTGGGTGCGCAAACATTGTACGCTTCAGTTTGGTCAAAAATGGGTCTGATTAGTGAACATGAGCTGGTACGATTGTCTCACAAATTGTTTGTAGACCCAAGTGATCGCAATCGCCGCATATTGTGTGGGTAAGATGTGGTTTAGCCCAGTAGGTTTACACGATCTTTTATGAGCCATGACCTGACAGGTTTTGCAATCGTGATACGTACCTTACAATGGCGATCTCGACCTCTGATCTCCATAGCGCAATTACGGTTGCGATCCCCTACCTGGGGTTACGACCTAGGATCCAGCTGTCGCAGTATCCGATGTACACCACGTGGAGATCCAACTGTTCATACACCTGGCCAGAATCACGTAAGTACAAGATTACGATTCTAATGAAAAGGCGACGCGTGGCACCGGTTATAGGATACAGATTGCCACAGTGCTTTTTTTAGTTTCGATTGATTCACATAAAACAGAGTTCAATCTACTTCGAAAGACACACTTTACCTTTTCCGGGCAGGTCTTTGGCATCATGACATATATAAAGCCGCGCTACACGTCTACACTATTGTAGCACCTAAATTGTTTGAGCAAATGTGTTTGTGAGCTCCCAAGACACCAAGTCAACTGCTATCGGACGCAGCAAACAAAGCAAGGTCAAGTTGTGCAAGATCGCGAGACGGCTCAAGTGGTCAGAAGGTATGCACGATCAAGCTTCACCGTAGGTCAAGGCGACCTTGAGCAAATTAGGGCAATTATTCCAAGATCCCACACAAAGCTAACTCGATGGTGTGAACTTTTTTGCGTGATTGCCACCGATTACAAACTATCACGCTCAAATTCAGCATCAATTTGAGTCCACTTAAACAATTGCAATTCCACCTACCGACGGACAGACAAGGTTAGGAAGACGAACGACGCGAAATCGGAGTACTCCCTCAGTTAGTCGGTCGTCCGAGCGCTAGTGGAGAGGATCGAGATTGCCTCAGAAATGAGAGATTATTACTTCAGCACAACAGACTATAGGACAACATTTGGCATCGTAAATTATTGCCTCATCACCATCTACATCTGAAGATGTTGAAAGTCAGCGCATTACGCAAGATATACCTGGGGCCATATCCACTGACTCCAAGTCAACAGAAGGTAAGCTTTGTAAAGCAAGGTCATGGTGTACCAGTTCCACTAATTTATGGTGTCCTCATGCTCCTGGACGTAGGAGAGTTTGCCTCCGAAGAAGAAATTCATAAATACGATGGATCCATAAATAAGATGCTTTAGCAGCGCCGTGACTTTAAGAAAAAGTGCCAACAACGCCGACGTGCGTCTCAAACAAAACTCCGTTATAAATAGACAAAAATGAATTCCAAATACCAGTTGCGTGCAATTTTCTGCACGCATTACGCTGCGGCTGTGCCGATAGCTGCAAATACACACAGGGCTTCGGCCATGGACCCTCCTTCTGCTACCAGCACTAATGATAAGAGTGAGGGGTATCAAGTTAATTTGAATATCGCGCTCAAAAACAGCCACGGCATATGGTCAATCTGGCTGAAGAGGTATATAGTTTTACCATGATCTCTGACTCAGATTACCGCCGCCACTTCAACGGATACTAATATAGACATGAAGACGACATTGTTGCATTGACCTATCCACCTGTAAATGTAGTTTCTGTAACGGGGTGAATCGTTACATAACAATTTATAAGAAATTGTTAATAGAATATAACTATAAGAGTTATATTCTCAGAATATTGTCATAAGGACAATATTCTGTAGCACTTCCAAGTAGTTCCTAATTGGTTGATATAGGCCATTATATCAACCAACGAAGACGCGCCACGACAGACGCACGCAATGAGTGGTGAGCAGATAACTGATTTACACATTTGTATTTAGACATAGTTAGATGAAGATAAATAGTGATTTATTGCAGACATTAACTATTATAAATACAGTTCTACTTTTACTCTAACCGAGTACTCGCTTCTTCTTACCGTCTTCCTCTGCACGTACGAGTGTACGTGAAGTTACGAGGCACCGCCTTATTCTGTTATCAGAATAAGTAGCTTGTACTGTCACCAGTACAAGCTTCAGGGTGCCCCGTTACACCTGGTAGCACTTCGTAGTCCGTCCAAGGACCGCGTTCACATCCAACATGAATATGTTGGATGATGAAAGATGACCAAAGCTTTCACGCTACGCGTGACGGCTACTCCCATTTGAGCGATGTCGAATGGGATGCGGTTGAACGAATGGGTTCGACCATGGGCATCCATGCTGTTAGCGTCATGCTAGAGGCTCTCAATAGAGATGCCCAACATGCTACTATCGCCAAGTTCATTCAAAATGAACTTGACGCAGAACGCGAGAAAGTAGCCTTGCTTCACCAACAAGGTTCTCAACAAGCAGAGTTGTTGAGAGAACAAGGTGCTCAACAGTTTGAACTGTTGAGACAGCAGCAAGCTGCTGCTGGCGGGTCGATGCACTCGCGTCGACCCGAGACTTTGAAGATTGACATCTCAAAGTATAGGGGGGTCGAAGAAGACTCCCTCTTGAGATGGTTCGTCGAATTGGATGACGCCATAAGGGCGCGTCGCATCGACGACGGGGATATGCAAGTTGCATTTGCCCAGTCAAATCTGGCAGGACGTGCCAAGACTTGGGCACTGGGGCTCAAGCTGCACGACCCATATGCGTTTGGGTCGTTGGAAGTCTTCAAGTCGCGGCTCAGACAAACGTTTGAACCGCCTAGAGCTGAGTTCAGAGCTCGAACCGAACTCTTGAAGCTCAAGCAGGGTAAGCGTGATGTGCACGCTTACGCTCAACATATACGACATCTCACGAGTTGTATAAGTTCCAATCCGGTGGATGAACACACGTTGGTTTCGGTGTTCATGCAGGGTCTTGCGGATGGTCCCGTCAAGACTCACCTGTTCCGGCTTGAACTAGATTCACTAGAACAAGCCATTTCAATTGCGGAGCAGGAAGACTTCAGTCTGAGACAGGCTCGCGCCAGCTCGACATCATATCGTCAACCGAGACGATATGACAGCGTAAGTCCAGAGCCGATGGAACTCTGTTATGTTGAGAGCGAGAAGGCTCGCTCTACAGACTACAAGAAGTTGCAGAAATACAACAGATGTCAAAAGACAGGACACTACGCTTACGAGTGTAGTGCCCCTCGTCCAGTGTCTCGCGACACTGGGCGTAGTGACCGTCCACCCATGAGAAAGGGGCAGGGACGAGGGTCCGCAGTTGGTGCAAAGACGCAACAACGGGATGGACCGTCAAAAAACGGACAGGATCAGTAGGTGCGGAGCACCCTACTGATCCAGCAACGTCAAGAGAATTTGTAGGCCTCTTGATGAAGGTTGCTCCCAACACACAGACATTGTGCGTTGCTGCTCTAGGTAATGAGATCTCACTCATTACCTTGAAACTCGAAGTGACGAATAAGTTGTCCCTTCGAGCTCTAGTCGATTGTGGGGCGTCCAACAATTTTGTGCGACGCCAATCGCTAGAAGATGGTCACTTTAAATTCAGTGAATGTGACACACCTCCTACGAGGATGACGGTACGTCTTGCGACAGGCGCATCCGTAACCGTCATGAAGCGTATAGTGAAGATTCACTATACGCTAGAAGATACCCAATACGACGATGACTTTATCGTATTGGATTTGGATGACAAATTTGATGTCATCCTTGGAATACCGTGGCTCAGAAGGTACGAACCACGGGTAAACTGGCAACATCGGACAGTAACGATGCCTGCCGCTTGTTCATCAGATGGCCATCTGATGAACGTTTTGGAAACGTCCACAAGCGTGTGGATGTACTACGAGTGAGTGCGATGGCCTCACTTGTGGTACGGTCGTTAGTACGACTGCACAAAACCTTAGTGTACCAAACGGTTACACTTCGGAGCAAAGTTCCGGCGGCTGTGAGGAAACACAGGCTGCGCCGAAGGTCCACCACTCGAATAAGTCGGGTGGACTGGGACAAAGATGTATCCCTAGAGGGGAACATCTAGAAGAGAAACAATCGATCGCTCAGGTTAAGCGAAACGATAATCCTAGATCGACTGGAGAGTCTTTCGTAGAGGATCTCGCTGTGGTTGCGCAACCCCAGCTAGAGGAAGTAAAGGGAATAAGTCCCAAGATTACAAATACGGCGGAAATAAGTTCCCCGAAACCCGCGGGAATAAGTCCCCGGGAAGACGAAGGAATAAGTCCTTCGAAGCCTGAGGGAATAAGTCCCCAGGAAATGACAGAGACATTGAATGTCATAGTCAATAACGGATCATGTGTAGGCGCTTATACACTTGATCTGATTGCGCCTCCGAAGTTAACTTCGGAGATCACTCAGTTGCCAACGCTCGAACATAAAAGGTTCTTGCGTGATCTGCGTAGTGGCAAAGTCAAGCAGATCTGCATACTCGTCGCTGACGACGAGTATGTAACCGACATAAGGTCAGCAACAGTGTTTACTGAGAACGAGAGAGTTCTCAGTAGTTCATCTATGGACGAGAGTGTCCTAGATGAAAAGACACGAATTGAGCGATATGAGTCCCAATCATGGGAATCGCTCAAGGAAAATCCTCTCTATGAGGATTTGGTTGAATTCAAGGATGTATTCCCTGAAACTGTTCCGTGCGAATTACCGAAGGATAAAGGTATTCGACACGAAGTCGAGCTTAAACCAGGCTCGAAGTACTGTGTCATGAAGCAGTGGCCACTGCCTCGTGAACAAGTACTTGCGATCGACAAGTTCTTTGCCGATCGTTTAGCAGCAGGCCATGTGAGGGAATCAACTTCCCCACATAGCTCTCCGACCTTCTGTGTGCGAAAAGCAACAGGAGGGTGGCGGATAGTGCACGCGTTTAACAAATTGAACGCTGCAACGGTACCGGCTCAGACGCCGATACCGAGGAAGGACGTAATCATTGATGGTATGTCAAAGAGTACCATCTTTTCGTCCATGGATTTGATGGATGGCTTCTATCAAATCCTAATGCGGAACAGGATATACCCTATACCGCAGTTAGCACGCCTAGCGGCATGCTCTGGGAATGGCTAGTAATGCCACAAGGGCTCAGTAATGCCCCTGCCACGTTCAACAGGTGTGTATCACATCTGTTGAGGCCAGTACGAGAATTCGCGCCGAGTTATTTCGATGACGTATTCATCCATAGTCGAGCTATGGATGGAAAGTCGGACGTTGAGTTCACAAGTACCACGTCCGACAAGTTCTTACAATCATGCGAAAGCATCAATTGTATGCAAACCTCAAGAAGTGTATATTTGCAGCAAGCGAAATACCACTTCTTGGGTGCATCGTTGGTAAGAACGGTGTACGTCCTGATCCCGAAAAGATCAAGGCGATCACCGACTGGCCCGTGCCGGTCGATGTCAAAGGTCTTCGAAAATTCCTTGGGCTAGCGGCGTATTTGCATAAGTATTCACGCAATTACGCCGAGATGACTGTACACCTCTCTCGTTTGTTGAAAAAGAACGAGAGGTGGTTATGGAACGCTGAATGTCAACGCTCCTTTGAGGGTATCAAGCAGAGCTTGATACAATCCCCAGTCCTAGCAATAGCCGATCAGGACAGGCCATTTCATGTGGTCTGTGATGCCAGCGATTTCGCAATCGGCTGTGCATTAATGCAGTACGACCTTGAAGGCGTTGAACGCGTCGTCTGCTATCAGTCGCGTCAGCTGCAACCAGCTGAGCGGAACTATCCAGTGCATGACAAGGAACTCCTTGCCATGAAGTATGCACTCGCGAAGTTCAGAGTCTATCTATTAGGAGATAGACCCTTCGTTGTTTACACTGACCATGCGTCCTTACGCACGGCAGTGAACAGCCCACACCTTTCACAACGAATGGCGCGGTGGTTGTCATTCTTTGCAGAATACAACTTTACGGTCGAGTACAAACCAGGACGACTTAATGTCGTCGCTGATGCACTCTCACGTCGTCCCGACTTTGAAACAGTCGCGAAACCCAACAGTGAGACAGTCACTGTTGCGGTTATGACGTCCTCAGTTCCATCTACAACGTTGTATGATGATGTGAGGCGGGCATACGCCCAAGATGGTGAGATAGTGAAGTTGTTGTCACATCTCTCCCAACCATCTCGAGAATCGTTGAAACGATTGTCGTCTGCGTATCGATCTGCATCAGATCGATACACTACTCGTAACGGTTTACTGTACTATACAGCCGTTTCTGGTGACACACCACGTGTTGTCATTCCAGATGATACTGATCTGCGTTTGCGGATCATGTTCGAGTATCACGATGCTCCTATAGGAGGACATCGTGGCCGAGAAAAACATATCTCACGGTAAGTCGAGACTTTTACTGGCCCCGCCAGTATCAGTTTGTGCGAAAGTATGTTCGCGCATGCGAAGTCTGCCAACGAGTGAAGTCAAGTCCTTCACTGCGTGCACCTTTACAGCCTCTACCGGTTCCGGCTGAGTGCTGGGAATCCATCTCAATGGATTTCGTCTTCGGGTTACCCAAAGACGCACGCGGGAATACGGGTATTCTCGTATTTGTTGACAGATTCAGCAAAATGGTACACCTTGTGGCTGTACCAGAGACAATCACGGCAAGTGGCTGTGCTTGTGTCTTTATTGACACCATCTTCCGACTTCATGGGTTGCCCCGTGAACTCGTATCAGACAGAGATCCACGATTCACTGCTGATTTCTGGCGTTCCGTGTTCAAATCACTCGGAACGCGCTTGAAGATGTCAACATCTGATCATCCAGAGTCAGATGGTCAGACGGAACGTGCCAATCGTGTCCTTGAAGAGATACTTCGAGGATACGTACACTCCTTTAAGAGTTGGAGTGAGTTTTTGCCGATGGTAGAGTTTGCCATCAACAACTCGGTGCATGCGTCCACGACACATACACCGTTTTACGTGAATGGCTTGCGCCATCCGCGTGTACCCACCTTACTAGAGTGTAACTCTGGTTTAAGGGGGGAGGGACTCGCGCGAGCAAAAACCGATTTGGTTCACGCTCATCACGCTCTGACGAAGAAGTCATTGCGTTTGATGCCGATATCGATAACATCGATATCGAAGAAGATGATGCCAGTGAGAGTGCGGAAGCCCTCACTGAAGACAATGATCCCAGTGAGAGTGCGGAAGCCCTCACTGAAGAAAAGGTTGTTGTCGCTGCAGTGCGCTCACAGCACACTGAAGCTAACGAGTCATCAGATGAGTTCATACTGGCTCGTGAAACGGTAGTCCGTTTTGTGCAAGACTCCATCGCCGAAGCGGTGGATAAGCAAAAGCAAAACGCTGACAAGAATGGAAGGGCAAACACTCTTTTATTTAATAAAGGTGACTTAGTCCTACTGTCTACGGTTAATCTACCAAAACATGTAGTGACTAACTTGGGTAGCAGTAAACTACTACCCAAGTACATTGGCCCATTTCGTGTATTGCACCGCCTAGGCAATGCATACACGATCGAGTTACCACGTAAGATGCGAACGCATCCCACGTTTTACGTTGGTCGGCTTAAGCCGTACCATCAGTACGCTGCTTCTTCCGATGAAGAACGCCCTTGCGCTCAAGCATCTCGCAGAGAGCCTTGTGCTCCCGATGGTGGGCATCAACAAGGGTCTGAAGAGCAGTTATCTCAGCCCGAGACCGATCAACAATCCCACGAGCTACCCTTAGCTCGTCACGAAGAGATGTCAGAGATCTCTCGTTCTCAAGCTGAGCAAAGGCAAACTCAGCTCGATGCTTCGAGGCAGTGTCCACCATCTGGAGACGCCTATTCCGCTCATGCTCGAGATCGTCGCGTAACCCTTGCGTTACGCGATCAAAAGCTCTCGGGAACACACCGATCCACATGATCGTGTGGAGAGCGTCTTTCCTCCTCCTCCACCTCCATTAGAGGACTCTCGCGGTGGCCAGCGCTATCTAGTTGAGCAGCTGTTGAACCACCGCGACGTGAACGGACGTCGGACGAGTTACCTCGTCCGGTGGCGCGGCTATCCCCCGTCCTGGGATTCTTGGGAGCCCCGCTCCCAATTGATGGTTGACGTACTGGGTCTGGTCGAGCAGTACGACGCGACACATCCTGTGCCGCAGAAGGACCGCCGGAGAAAGTCTTCCCGGCACGGTCGTAAAGGGATTTCAGGTTGTCAATCCCTTCGTACATCTCAGTAGAGACACGTACGCGCCACCACGGGCTGGTAAGGAGGTAAGCCTCCTTAGGTGCTCGTGCAGAGTTGTTCACACAACATGGGCACGAGTCTCCCCAAGAGAGGCAGGGTAATCCT